AACCTTTTGCGTTGCTTTCATTGTACCTTTCATAGAACTAGGGAGTTCTTGTTGTAATGAAGCTGAAAATGTATGTTCTTTTTAAAAGGTTTGAAAGGGGATTAAAAAGTTTTGTTTAAACTTATGTTTAGTTGTAGCCAGACTGGAATAAATTAGCATGTCTACTTAAATCAAATGGTGTTTTTGGTCATGTGTTATGTGTTTATGCATGAGGTATTATTACGACATAATGAGGTATTCATTACTGACAGATATATGAGGTATTTTTCCACCTAGTACAGCGCTATTTGTACCCATGCTAAGAATTATTGATACCCCAATACCAAAACACGTACACGTATATCTAGGGCTGGGAATACTTACTAGCATTTGTATGGGCAATGTAATGCGTGAAACAGAATGGTGATCTCAGTCTTGCTTAGCTTATATAATGTTGACTTTCAATGCGTTGAAAGGGTTAAAGCGAACCTCTTCAGCCATATGAATTTCAAACTTGAACCACATCGTCCTGGGGTATGTAGAAGAGGGCATTGCTTACCTCAACTTGTAATTGATACTTAACGACAACACGCCGGGAACAGACACCTGGGACAGGCTGAACTGTGTCAAAGGGATACCTGTTTCAGGACGTATCGATAAGGTTGGCCGAAATGAAGTGTAATGACTCCTTATCAACACACAGTGTTTACAGAAAATATATTTGTATTACATAGAAAACATACTAAATTCAACTGATAACAAAGGAGGGTGTTAAAATATGTATTTAAAAAATTATATCAAGCAGAGGGTCTTCTACTGACAGAATAGCTTGTGAATTAAGAGAAACAATTTTGATCTAAGAATATAATTTTAAAACCTATGTAAAATTAAACACAATTTGTTTTCTGATTAACAGGCTTATTGGTAGCTATTTCTAATAAACTGTAGGAACTTTAGGTTGTTAACAAAATATTAGAAAAATTGCAGAAAATAACCTTGACAGGATATATTTTGCCAAAATGTTGAAAGGTGTATGTATTTATTAGAATATATATTTTTGTATGCTTATGTTATTGTTTACGTGTGCCTATGAAAATATATGATAACTAATTTCAGAAGAGAGATATTAACCATGATTCGCTGCAATAATTCTGTTCTCAAATAAATGAGATGTCACTCCTGGTTCTATTATGTCAGTGTAATAACAAATGTGATTTCTAAGGGATATCGATCTACGAATAAAGCAGGTATTAATATAAACTACTTCCTGGCAAGCAAATAAGCTTCGAATGACATTAATTATCCAACAGAGTAAATTAATTAACTTGTCTGTTGAAAAACAATCATTTCACAGAACTGATGATAGGGAACCATTATTAACAGGCTTCGTGGCGTGAAACTTGCTCAATTACATCTCCAGCATAGCGTAGCCAGATCAATCAGTTTGATCACAGTCAGGTAACTTCTGCAGCCAGAAAACAACTCATGTATGTTCATGGAGATTTTCCAAAATGTTCGAACATTCGTTTTGATTTTTTTTTCAGCAAACAAATTAACATGAAATTAAGCTTGTGATTGAAAACTGAAAATTGGAAATATGTTAATAATGTCCATTGATATCGATTATCTTTGTCATGCATCTTTCTTCTTATTGCTATATTTTGTATTCATGTGGTCACCATTACCAAACTCACAAATAAATATACGTAACATCTATTTCTTTAATTCCATGAACTAATATAATATGCATAAGTTCTAGTCGGATAGAGTTTCAAGAATCGTCAGGTACCGGATTATAAAACGTAATATCTACCTATAGTATTAAGATTGAAGAGTGTTTCTAGAATTCTGTCTTTGTCGAAAGCGATATTAACATGATAATCAACTTTAACAGAGACAAAAATCTATGTTTAGATAATGCCCATATTAACGAGAACAGAGGATGTCTTCTGGGTAACTAATTACTTTTGTCAACCGTCCTCATTAGCCCGACACCTGGGGAACCACTTCAGGTGTGCTAATAACCCATTACTGACTACAAACGATAGCGTTCCATCCCGTCTTGATTAAGATTAATGAGGTATGAGCGTCTGGTAGGAGATGGGAAAGGTAGGGATGTGGCGGCAGCATCAAGGTGATCAGGGATTGTCATTGTGTATGGTTTTTTTCTCTGAGATGAAGTAGGGCAATGGATCGAAGGTTCGTATTGTTTTAAATATTAAGCGAAGATAATAGGGGTTCTTTTTACACTATCGTTTCTAAAAATGATATATGTATTATTATCATAAAAAGAAATTGGTTAAAATATTTCTACATATTCCAAGATAAACTAATAATTTGTATATACATGTAGCACACATGTTCATTACTTTTAAAATTTCAGAAAAATACTTTAGAGAGGCAAATGTATATGCTTTAGGGAATATGTGAAACGTCTAAACACGGTGATACATCACCAAGCTTATTGGAGTCAAACGATTATTATATGGAAGATGTTTTTACATATTGTTGTAACAAGTGAAACTAATGGGTAGATTTAACCAAAAATGGAAAAGAATTTAGATTCCTTAGTTAACTGTATAATTTTAATGTTTACTAAAAATTGGCGATATATTTAGTGTCTAAAATATTTGCCTTTGAACGTTGAAAAATTAGTCCAGAGATATTTATATATGGTCTAGGGACTGAAAATACATACGAGTGAAATGTACAAATCAATTTTGAATAAATTTAAATTATCAGAAAACAGTATTCGTTATATCTGTCGGAGCGAATTACAGTATATATATTTCACAGGACTCACAACATTGAGAACGCCGACCACAGATACGGGTTTAATTGTTCGAAATGCCATTGTGATTTCCCGAAATAGAATGAGTCATTATTCTATCATGTGTGTTAAATATATCACTAAACCCAACATCACCACATCCGTAAAAAAACAACGAAAATGTATATAACAAAATGGAGTGTCAATAAAGGTCAGCGGCTGTTAACACCTAATTGAAACTCCGCTTTTAAACGGCAACATGTGCTCTTGCTTTATGTTGGGATATTTAATATACAACACAAGCTATTGATTTTTGACTCAAAACCCCATAAGCCTTGACATACATACAGTCAGAATCAGCAGAGGTGGTCCGAGATACAAGCACTAATTCATAGATGTTGGCTCCTGGTTTCATTAACGCTGAACGGGTGCTCAGCATTCCGTTTCATACAAGTGATTATTGAATATTTACCGAATTATTCGGATGACTGATTTCATGGAAATATATTTCCTTGCAATTTGACACTTTAGTGGTGTGAGAACAACTCAACCATGTGAAAACCTATTTTGTGCGCGGAAATATGCAACCCATAAATACACAAATAACTGGATTAATATTGCGCATCAATTCATGTTTATCATTTAGAATAATGCCAGAACAAGTGTTAACACGTGGTGCCTACTTACATCTTTGTAAATAAAATAAATAATTTAATCGGTAATGAAAGATGCATTTCCTAATTTTTGTTAATTCTAAACATAATAATTTGACACTGAATGTACATTTTGTTGAAATGCATTTCAAAATGGTATGTGTGACAAAATCCATCAAAATGATCCGTGTTTAACAGACCATCACTTTGAATGCATTCAAAAGCAGTATTCATCTGCTATCTTGTTATTGAAATCAATACGTTTATTAACATGTTGAATATTTTGATATCAGCAGGTCGGGTGCATTAGAAACGTATTTTAGTAACGGTTGTTTTAACATCAAATGCTTGGTATAATTTTCGAAATGAAACGGGACTTGATTATTGACCCTAATCTTTTAGGGTTAGGTTTAAACGTGCATATATTAAAAATACCAAGATCATACAGAGGCAGGTATGAATATAATACGTATAATATTTTGAAATTTGACGTATTGATAAATATTTTGTTAAGAACGGATACTGATGAAAACGGAAAGTGTACACTCACTTGTTGATCTAATATGACAATAATAATATAAGCTCTAAACGAAACTATCCACTCAATTCAGGATCTATAGACAATGTTTGAAAATTGATATTAGAAGCAAAATGGAAAACCTATGTTGTCTTTTACCACAATACATCCAAACCTACATATGTAGAGAATATATGTATGAAGACAAGCTATTTTTGAAATCATGAATATTTAAATCCCTGTTTGATGAATATGGATAGACTTTATTAAGTAGTTGGAAGGAAAGTATCATGATCTTTAATTTACTAAGGGACAGGCATCCATTATTCCTCTTAACCAGGATTGTAATGGTAGGAATATCATTGTGATCGTCTAGCAAATCAGAGCAAGGCATAGTTGATATAAAGTCAAAGGAAAGTCTACGATTTTTTTCAAGCTGTCGTGATGACCTCGAAGTATTTTCCTTATTGTCGTTTTTTATTTGTTTCTTATTGTTAAGAAGGTCGTGTTTATTTTTGAACACAATACTCAATACTGTGAGGACTTTCTTTGATCCAGAGACAGTGTAGGCTGTGAATCAGGCACGTATCTTACGTGACAGAAGGATATAGACCAAGCAGTAACGTTATGTATACTGAAGTATACTAAGTTTACAGTATATGTTCTGATCGAGAGAATTGTTATGCCTTTCATTCCACCTCTTCTGAACCAAATGCACATAACATGCATTATGGGTTTGTGCTGTCCATACATTTACCGTATCATAACGAGCATCTGTAGAGACTTTTCGTGATGTGTATCACTACACCAGATGCTTTGATACAATCTCTCCATAGATTATCTGTGATCTGGAATCTTCGTGAGCTTGTATTAATTTTGAAATATGATTTTATTAGCAGATAATCAACAAGGATATGGAACCCACAACGATCACACCTACACACTGTTGATGCATTAAAGGGACTATTCTTGCGATGGTGAAAGATGTTTAGACATTGCAACGAAAGAACAGATAATTAAACAGACATAGTGTTTTGTTGTATAAACACAAACAACAATGAAACAAAACGAAAACAACAGGTAAATTCAATCTATATTTATGGCATTTTCAATGAAAATCTTTGGACGTTATGGAACGGTATATGCAACGTATGGTGGTAGTGATATGATCTCCAACTGTAGCAATCAGAGTTGACAGAGTGGTGTTGGACAAAAAATGACATAATCTCAAAAATTGGTCAAAACACTGTCTCTCTTCTCTATGGACAAAAAACATAGTCACGTAAATCAGACGGGGAAACAAAGCTCGGTTCCCTGGGCGTTGTTGAGGGTCATTCCATTACAAGTGATCTAATTAGTACAAGAAGGGAATTTGGACAATACGATAAATTAAATTCATTCTAGAACATTTGAACCATATGATGGTCTGAGAACACATAAATGGTGGATGCCACCTAGTCTACGATTGTCTGTTTGCACTGTTTTAGCACTGACCATGCTTTGAACTGTGGAGAATGCAATGGATTCCTTACCAGCCTCTCTATATTCTCATAGTTCTATAGTTCGTGGTTATGGTCCAAATACTGTTCGACATTCACTTGTATCCCCAACAAGCACTGTACATACATTTACTAGGCTACGCTGCTACTGCCTCGACTCGCTTTGATGCAAACGAGACACACAGCCTGAGTTCCTTTTCCAACCACAACTGAACAAAATCCATTTACACAAGATGTCAAATACCTTCTTTTGAGTACAAGTTACTTCTTTCGACACGAAGTGTGAGTAAAGGTTATGTTCTCTGTTCGTTTTGAGGCACAAATCTAGATTCTTGACACTACCTTGCTTACAAAAGCAGGCTCAGTTTTCCTCAAACGAACATGGAATTATGGCATTGGTAGAATTTTAATCACGTTATCTCTAAACGTTATCAATCGCTTCAAGAAAACGTCTCCATACCTCCCGGATCGACTCCCAGGACGAAATCAAAACATTTCAACCCGACTCGCATCGAGCAGACGACAGGGAGCGAGGGAGAGAAGCGAAGTGGCGTACCGGCAGCCGTGGCGATTAAATCAGATCAGGCAGACGACAGAATGGAACACAGCCTTGGTTTTTTCTTTGGGACATTTTTCCAGAGCACCAATTGAGATGAAAATCAGTCAGTTTCAATCACTCTTTCATAACGCTTGATAGTCCGTTAACATTTGCCCAACATCGTTCGCCGACCCGTTATTCATACCAACCACTCCCGGCACCCCTTGCCCCACCCCCGGATTGTGGGGCAGCATGTTTTGAAGCAGTGCTCCTCCTGGTAGGGCTGAAGCTTTTTGCAAATCTGTGTAGATTGAGGGGGAGGTATGGTGGGGAGGAGAGGCATCATCTAGTTTAGTCTGTCCATTTACTGAGTCTGAGTTTCTTTCCTCTTTGATATCATCCGAAGGCGATCCAGGGTCTTGACCAGGCTGCAGAACACCATCTCTGCTGATAGAAGACAGGAAACTGTCAGGACTGCATTGCAGACACGACAGTGAACAAAATGAATAATTTTTCAAATTAAAACTCAAACATTTTAAACTAAACTAACATATAACAACATAAATATAGCACACTACCTAACCAGTTTGTGTTAAGTGCTATATGATATGCTTAGCATCTTTTAGATACTGAAATTATTATTATTATTATTTTATTATTACAACATATTATAATCTATGTGGCGAATGTAAAGACTTACTTCAAGTAAATAATTAATTTTACTGGGTTAAAAAGAAATTGTTATCACTGTTTCCAAACTTAATCTCAGATCTGACAGAAGTGATTAATCTTCTAAAAATATTTGACCTTAAAACCCAAGGCTCAACGTGGCCTTCAGTACAAAAACTCTCTCTGAACAGACACAGCACCAGTTTGGTCAGACTACCTTCTTTGCAATACCTTGCAATAGCCATATCATATTACCTCAAATCAAATACTTTGTGAAGTACTCGAATACTGAGCCTGAAATATTTCTGCTTTGGGATATATAAAAAGAACATATTTTCCGGCATATTTGCAAAATTAACGGTAAAAGAAAAACGTTTCATAAGCATATCTCGTTTTTACCATAGAAATATCCAATTACAATCGTTTGATGTATTTTAGTACAGTGTGTTGTAGTACATATAAGATATTTTCAATATTGCCTACATTACAAATATACGGACAACACCAATTGAAAAGTTAATATTCTAACAAATAAATATCTGAAGCAAAAACGTTTGGATGCATTAAACTGTGTGACAATACTAAGTGATGAAACTCAAAATCCAACGTGTGACTCTTCACTTAATGATAATAGGAAATCTGTTTGACTACTCTCGCCCTTCCTGGGAAAATCTGTTCCTTATCTTCTGGGGGTAAATAAAATCAAAAATAGTTTCACGCTCTGTAATTGATTACAGGTTTGAGCTAATATTAACAACAATCCAACCTAAACATGCATCTTATCTTTCTTAACGTAACATTGCATCATAGACCTTCACGAGGCAATTAGTGGTGAGAAGAGCTTTGTGTTTACGCGTTAACTACAACGTTACGCAGGGCCACGTGGTTGAAATGACAGCTCAAAATAATTAACTCAATGATTTGTCATCTTTATGCTTGTTCTGGGGCGTCTAAAGTCATAGACATTCTCCAGTGTTCTCAACCCCGACACAGTGTGTAAATTACGATAGAGCATTTACGGGTAAACATTTCTCACGGGCAGTTAATAAATAAATATTTACCTGTTAACATTTGGTGACTTAAACTGATCAAAATACCCTCAACAAACTAAATATTTTATGCATAGAGCAAAATAATATTATTTTAGAAATAACCAAGATATCATTCGTTTGATGAGTGATTGTGCTGTTTTATGAAATGTTTTCTAAGATTGTGAGTTTAGGGTATCACATTTCAAAACAAGACATAACCTGGCTGTAAATTCATTGATTTTCTCTGTAGAAATATCGATTCGCATATTTATTTTATTTTAGTAGGCTATTCGTTTAATTATTTAATTCATTCTGTATGTTTGGTGATCCTGGGAAGGAGAAATCGTTTCCATTTTCTAGGGGTTTAGTGTGACTATTGACCAAACTGCCTGCACAATTTCCGATTTTTAAAGCTTTTACTCCTAAAACATTCTACCATAACGCCCTGGACATCTGAATTCGTGCTGAGAATTATGTCTTTGAAAGATTGTCGACACAAAAACCTTGGTCCGCCATCAGACAAAATCGAAATAATTCAAGGGGGATGGCACGAAATCTGGTAACATGAGCTTATTGGGATTGCCAGCCTGAGAATTAGGTTTGGAGCTGAATTTTTCATATAATGGCTTCGACAAGAACGGTGGTAATTAGAGAAAATTTTCTGCTTTTTAGTTAAAACTGACGTGGTTAAGTTATCACAATCCGTTAATGATGTCAAATGTTTGTTATTCGTCACCGTTATTACCCGTCACATTCTTCTAATAATTGCCTGTTGTAGACGCCACAAAGGAACACCATTTCTCTGAATTTGAACAGCTTGACATATTCTTTGAGTTGATAAACCATTTAAAAATTGAAAAATCAAATTTGGCTGTTTGATAAACCATCTAAAATTATAAACCAAATTTAGTTGTTTTAAACAGACTTTCCATCCTTCTGTATCACGAAATAAGAGGCAAAATATTTGATAATTATATTTGTGTATAAATACAAACAAGAATGTTAAATTCAGTTCTATTTTTTTGCAGTGTATTTAGTATTTTCTACATTTCAATAATTCAGCAGCTGTTGCACAAATCGGTAGGACAAATAAGAAACAACAAACGGTATAGTAATTCGTGTGAGCTGAAAATTGCTAGGTAAATACAATTATTCACAGGGCCCAATAAGGGTCATCTAGTTCCGCTTACACTCATAAATAGAACTGCACTTCACATCTACCGTGGTACATATACAACAGCCTATACATATCACGATAGTTAACCATGTTCCCTGCTAAATATTGTAATCACGGAAATTGGGGGCCTCATGGCGGAAGTTAGCGATTTGTAAACAATCAAGATGTCCGACCCATTTCAAAAGGCAGAACCTACACACAGAATGGACTGATTTTCGTCAAATTTAATCTCAAAGGGGCACATTACCTGTCCTTTGCCTCTGCAGCTCGGTCCCGTTGTCGCCGGTTTTTAAACCAGTTGCTCACTTGTGTTGTGGTGAGGCCTGTGGCCTCGGCTAACTCCCTCTTTTCTCGGGGGGAAGGGTAGGGGTTGTGTCCGTACCATTCCCTCAGTACCGTCCTGGACTTTTCTTTGAAGCAGTAACTCGTCTCCTCTCCGTCCCAGATCGTCCTGGGAAGGGGAAACTTCCTCCTGACTCGGTATTTTCCCACGGCTCCCAACGGCCGCCCTCGAAGTTTCTCCGCTTCAATGTAATGGGCTTTTAACCACAAGGCTTGAAGCTTGGGGTGGTTGTGGGTAGAGAATTGGTTGTTTTCTAGGATTTTGTACAGTTCTTTGAAATTTCCACGGTGAAAGGCAACAACTGCTTTTGCTTTAAGAACACTTTCATTCTTATGAAGATGCTCACAGGCCGGTAGCGACCATAAGAACCGAGCGAGTCGGTCTATATTTCCGCCTTGTTGTAAAACTTCACACACACACGCAACTTGCTCCTGTGTAAATCCAAAGGATGGCAACATGGTTGGGCCCCCGGCCGATGGTGATCCTACATTTGTCGGGGCTTGGTGTTCATGGAGCATTGCAGCCGGAACGTTCGGAAACGGTCTCACTGCAGATCCGTTTTGGAACACTGGAAAAACAAGAAAGGTAGATTGAGTTACTTCTAACTGAGCTATTGCGTTTCACTGTGACATGGCACCGTGGCCTTCTGCTGGCCGCTGATTGGCTCTGGCGCGCGACCCCATGGATATATCGTTATTCACACAATGCCTGTGAAAATCCATCGCCATAGCAACAATGTCAATCATGAAACCCGACCCATCAAGAGGCGTGGACGAGTTTCGCCAGCTGAGAAACACTCGGGCCGGGCGATTGTGTTTCAACTATCGGCCGGGGTGGAGAAGCACTACTTACGATTCGTAATGACAGAGGGGAAGACTAGGCAGCTATATAACTCCGTAAACAGCCCAGCTAATTGTCCCCGACATTCTTGTGACAATCGTCTGGTGAAGGAAGGTGTTTGTGTCCCTAATGCCGATCAGCACCGTGAAATGAACCCCAGTCTACGCTGCGCATGGTTCGTTCACCACAGCTAACTGCACAATGTCTCAAGTCTTCCCCAACCCTACCTGGTGAAAGACCTGATTATATTTTGAAAGGAATTTTATAAAGAATGACTGGTGAGAATTGCTGGGCTATGATACCCGCCGAGCAGTGACGCGGAGAGATATTAAACGCGATATGACTCCATGATGCTTCGTGTAAAGAGGGATTTCGCAAGGAGAATAGCTTAAAGAAAAATAAACAATGCTCTAAATTGGTTCCATAGAAACCGAGGCAAGATTGGCTAAAATGCGTAACGAATTGGTTCCCGGCCTGTAAATCCAGGGACAAAATTACTGACACTGTTCGCAAATGTGAGAAATAAATAAACTGTGAACAACAGGGAACATCAATATTTATACATTAACATGCGTTGCAGATTAACTGACGATAAAATGAGTTTGTACGGACGTTTTCGGTAGGGGGTCCCTTGACAACTAAGGAGACAGGTTGGGAAGACAAGAGGACGGGACCCTTTCACAGCGACGGACAAATCTAAATAGGAGCCCCGCAGGGATCGTACTGTCTGGTGGATTCATCAAGAATTGCCTCTCCCCCAAGGCTGGGGGATCATATTTCGTGTCTCGAGCCGGGCAGGGTTTGACTTATTCCCATGCCACATTCCCCCTCCACAACGCCCCGATTTCAGGCCCTATGATCGACGACCAAAGACCATGAAGATTTTCCCTTAAAACATCCCTCACCACTTCACAACCGTGACATTTAAACGACAAAAAGAATCTAACAACTCGTTCAGCTTTCTCTGCAGGACCCTACCTCTACTCTTTATCCATTTTGGTCTCTCTAAAGTCAACCGTTGCTCTTTTCTCAATCATTTTCACCCAAGTATCTGTACGTCTGCTCTGGAAAACCCGTGGCGGGAAAAGCAGACGACGCTTCACACACGGGATATCGGATGAGCGATCGGGTGAATAACTTACGTTGACACTTACGGGGGTGGACCACCAGCATATACTAATCATGCCTAATCAGAAGTATGGAGCCATATTAGATCGTGGTAAGTTTGATTACATCGCGGGAAAATGGACGTTCATGCTAAGCGGGAGCGGTGCGCAGACGACTCACGAGGCAGGGACACCAAATTAATCCAAACGCAAACTACTGTCAACATCTCAGTCCATAGATATTTACTTTAGCCATTGTCACCCGCCGTTGTGTACTAACACTCAATAACGACCTATATTTATTTCTTAATCAACTTACGACAAGTAAACAGTATGTGCTCCCAGGGTAAACACAAAGAGAACACGAGGAATACAGAAGGCTAAGATTTACTTTTCCTTTCACTACTTAGGACGGACCACATGGGGCGGGGAAATCAAACATGTCCTCATATTCGAGGTACACAAAACAAATATTTATTTTCTGTGCACACGAGAATCTACTCGACATTACTCGATAATGCTAAATGGTTGACATAAATTTCATAAGCATCATAAACAAATTTTCGTTTTGTATATTATGAGTGAGTGAGTGAGTGAGTGAGAAAATCAGTCGGAAAAAGCTGGACATGTGACAAATGAAGATATAAGTGTCTGTTGAAACCATGCCTTACCAAATTATTTAAAAACCTGTCGCAAAACGTCAACAATAGTCATCCAGTACCGACAGGGCACTATTCATATTAAAACGACATGTAAAGACCCCTTCCAAACAAGAAGAAAAATATCATCACGGACACAGAAATCATAATTACAACCTAACGATTGGAAGATATCAAATTTCATTTTTACGATACCCGCATAATTGGTACTTCTATTATTATGATTACTGCAATTTTTTTCAACGGGGCGACATATGGGCCTCTGGGTGTAGGGACAAGTCTCGGATGGGGCTCACACCTCCCCGTACCCCAAGGTCAACATCGACCGAAAGCGAAGTCGGAGACCACGCCCACTTTACACAGGCGAAACTCGCCTTCTTTTGCCATTCCCGACGACCGGGTACATAAACGGGTGTCGAAGTTCGCCCGTGTTCGGTGTACTGGCTTTGTGCGGCACTTTGCTCTACATGTAGCTTTGTAAATGTTGGTGCATTAGCGAAGGCCCCTGGTTCTGAATTCCCGCCCCCATTACCGTTCGCTATTGTTCGGGCCCGGTCGGTCAATATTTTCGGACTGTGCGTAAAGAATGCCTCCGTTATTGAGAGATAGAGGTTCCGCATAGACCATCAATCTCTCACGTAACCATCAGTGTCCAGTCCAGTTCACTTTCCCGCTAATATTTACGTTATTACATTGTGGTTTAAAAAGCGCATGTGTCATTAAAATGTGAATTTAATTTGAACACATGTTCTCAGTTAAAACGGGTTTCAGAGGACATAATAGCCAGAGAAGTTTCACCACATATTAAGTTTAATTATTGTCCATCATGATGAAAGATAGTGTTTATTGGTTCGTTCCTTGTTTTCAAGAGTACGGGTATCGCAGAAATATAATTCCTACAAAGTTCTCATTACAGTCTCAGTCGGCGATGTGGTGCGAATAAAATATACACTTGAAAGGAAGCCGAAAATAATTTCAATTTAATAGCTTACTGATGCCAATCGGTAATTCCAATACAATTTCCAAACATTGGAAGTACGAGTCATTCCGTTTGATGATCAGATTATGATAATTGCCCCGATTTTAGCGATCAATTTATATTAAAACACTTTCAAAGAAATACCTACATGTGCGTGCGTCAACATGCCTCTGCAGTCGATATATTCTATACCAACTTAAATGCAAAACGACTATTGCTAGGTTGTATATACTTCTAAGTATACCGGATTTATTTAAAGCTTGTAATCATCCCTGACAGTGGTGTCAATTTCAGGGTTTACTTCAGTGAGTGACAGGCCTATCTCAATGGGTCAGGCGAGCCAACGCAGGCAGGCAGGCACCACAGTTGTACATTGCATGCTATGTACATGACTAGCTGCAATCAACATCGCTGCGTTCGTTTGAAGACTGTGTGTAAACAAGTACAAAATTATGCTGTCATTTGTGCATAACTACAGTAATGTCACGTGATAAGAGGTATAATCACACTGTTGAGCTATGTTATGTTCTCGTTACATTACGTTTGCTAAATATGGACATGAGCCATTTAATCATTACATTATTGACGTTAAGTAGTAAAGAAAAACAAATGATTTAAATGATCATGTTACAGACCTTGACAGTTTTAAGGAAACAAATAATTTATCTTAATATAAATCAGACGCTCTCCTTGAAATTAAACTTTGAGTAAAATTGAGGAACATATATAATATACTCATGGAAAAAATAAGGGAGCACATGAAAGTACAAATGCTTCTTTATTCTTTTCCAGGTTTCTTCACAAGTTTTGAATTGCACTGTGGGTGAAATTCTGGAAATAAATAAAGGAACACATGTGTTCCCTTATTCGTTTCTGTGAGTATATGTCCAGTTGATGAACAATATTAAGTAACTTATAAAATAGAATTGTGTTTAATTCACATGTAACTAATGGAACCTGAGAACTGTGTTTCTCATCAGACCTCATGTGAACAGGATGGATTCTTTTCAAATGTATGACATACAAAAGTATATCATCTTATTACCTAAGACCCCCCCAAGTACTAATATATGAAACCAGAATACCCACAAGATAGGTAAACGACGTTACATATAGTGTCTCTGTAGACGTCTCATGGTGCTATAAATTAATAATTATCACTACTAGCGAGCTTCGATAATACAACTTGATTTTTCAGTTTCCATTAAAAATACATTGTCATAAATAATCAACGCCCGAACCGGCCAACCCTCCAAGTGCACGAGTCTATTTCAGTCAATCATTATCGATTTCAACTCCCGATTTTCAAGTCGCTTGTTTAAACGCCATACTCTCTAAATACTACCAAATGTTACATCAATCGATATATACTTAACGGTGAAATGAACAAGTTTTTCAAGATCAATGTAATTAACAACGACACATAATAAGCATGCATATACACTCATAGCATGCTGCCAGTATCCCTTTGTCTTTCAAGGACGTTATGTACATTTCAAGGCAACTCTTTTGTCTGTTGTAAAGTAAGTTAGTGAATTTTTCGAACAGACAATTAGTCCTGTCGCTACAGTGAAAACTAAAATAGCAGATAATGATTACTTTAAATGATATCCATAATGTGATCTATGATATATAGTGTGTACCATATTGACCGTTAACGCCTTCATACAACCAGGTTTATTATTCTGATTCCAAGCATTGCATTCTCTGTATACATTTTTTTCGTTTTAAAACGCGACATATCAATTAGTCTCAGAATATGCATATACGTAGAAAGCTTATTATACAATAAGGCATGTAAACAAAGAATATGAGTAACGTATTAAGTGGCCGTATTTAATTCAATATGTAATCATTTTTAACAATTTCGTTCAGTATATACAGCTGCTGCTGCTCCTCCTGCTCCTGCCTCCTACTGCTGCTGCTACTACTACTACTGCTACTGCTACTGCTGCTGCTGCTGCTGCTGCTGCTACTACTACTA